AAGCGAGGCGAGCCTCCGGCACGGCATGGTGACACCGACTGCATGGCATTGGTATTGTATTGTTTCGTCTTTGTGGTCGATGGTGATGGAGACGATGGGTGGGCTTCGGTGATGATGACGGGGATGCATGGAGGGAGGAGCTAGGCGAAATCCTATACTCTTATAAAGCAAAACTCTACTAGCAATTTTATTGACATACAATATGTCCATCTCAAACAGTCCACTACTATCACTTGCATGCAAGGTGTCCACCTTAGCCATCCACTATTACTTATAATTCTCTTATAAAGCAAAACCCCACTACCAATTTTTTTTTTGACATGTAAGGTGTTCACTTCAAGCAGTCCACTACTATCACTTGCATGTAAAATGTCCACCTCAGTAGTCCACTATCACTTGCAATTAAAGTTCACTGGCACAAGCAATTATGATATCCACGTTAGCGAGACACATCATCCACTAACTTACATTTAATTGTCCACATCAGCATGCTACACTGTCCACTAACATTAGTTTATAATAGTTAATCTCTTTCTAAGAATTGTATAAATAGTTAAATTTCATTTCAAATCAGTAGTTCCCGCAACAACGCGTGGGGTGTTCTTCTAGTATATAAAGTGGTTAAAGCTAGCTAATGACCACTGTGCTGCAAGCACTCGAGCGAGACGTACTGTAATACGCGCTCTTAAACTAGCATTTAGTTGCTTGGAGACGAGTTGCTGCATTTGTTTTGGTTGAACACAACACAACACTGTGCACTCGTCGCTAATGGCCCCCCTTGCCAACTATAAGTCTGATGGCCCCTCTTGCCAAATGAGTAGCAAGCAGGGTTTGCCCAAACCAACTGAAACACCGCGCCAGGTTTGGTTTTTGTTTAATCTGATGGTTTGTGTGGCTGATAAATCAGCTGATGATGTTTTATTGTGAAAAAAATATTATACCATAACTGATAAGCCAGACTGATAAGTTCAAACGAACATGGAACCACCCAAGCCGCGAACGAGAAACCCAAAAGGCAACATTTGGTTGCAGCAACCAAAACGGAACAGCAGGCCCCCCTTATGTGACAATGGCACCAAGTCATCAATGCAAATCAAAAAAAAAAAAAAAAGGGGATTCTAGCTAGGTTCACTTGAGCCAAAGACAGTGTTCGGCTGGTTGACCGGCCGGCCAACCAACTCATGAAATTACTGTTCACGTCCTGTTACAACAGTATTTTTCTCTCACAACAATCAGTCGGAACAGTATTTTTCAGTCCTGCCGAACAGGCCCAAACTTTCTTAATTTTGAAAATATTATTAAAGTTTATAATTCTGATCTAAATATAACTATGTTGTGAGATATATGGGTCAGTGAAGTCAAGTCAAGGCTCAAAAGCACTTGCAAGCAATGGGCAGGTACCAATGAAGCAAAGCAGCTTGAGACCAATCCAATCCAATAGGGTATTAGGAAAGATGGGGACGGAATCAAGTGGGCAAATCGGACATCAGCAGCTGATCAGAAAGAATCCCGTGCCGAGTCATTTCCGGTTAGATTATTACTGGCATGGTATGTGCATCTGCTTCTGTCTGATCCACATCCACCCTGCACTAGCCGCCACCTGCATCTGCACTTGTCCATCCTGACCAATCATCCGCCCAGCTCCATGAGCTCAGTGCTTGCCACCGAAAGAAACGTGGAAAGTGCATGCATACAGATGAACGGTAAAAAGACACCGGACAGTGGACAATGAGATTATGGATGGTATCAGCTAGATTACACAAGGAATTGAATCACCATGCCAGAATCCAAAACAACACCCAGAATGCCTTTTAGATTCTACCAGGGCGTGCAAAGATTCTACTCTTATTCATCACTGTATAATACAACAACACATCAGGATCGTATACCACCATTACCCATTTGATACAGAATTCATAACATAAACCACAGCCGACACAAACGCTCAAAGCTAATCATTCAAATGACAGAACATACGCTCAAAGCTAATCACTCAAATAACAGAACATCAGAAATGAATGAGGATACTGGAGTGGTTATTCGTGTTTCTGTAACTCAAGCTTTGTATACTTCCAGCTAAACTTCCATTTATTGCGAGCATGAAGCAAGGGAATTCTGTGCTATTGAAAATGATAAGCATCATGGTGGCAACGCAGCAATGACTTTGAATGTTTTTTTTTTTTTTTTGCCAATATCAGTGCCTGTTGCCAGTTCTTTTTTTCCCCCTACCAAACAATGGAGCAGTGCTTACATAGTATCTAAGATGTTTACATATATTGATATATACTACATGGATAGGTGAAGACCGATAGTGATAGCAGTGGAACATGTCCATGCCACCCCAACAACTGCAAGTTTGCAACAAGTTCACCAGTAAACAAGCAACATATTACTAAAGAAATAGTGGAACATAATCATGCAAGCAAAGGACCAAAAAAAAGTGAGGCCCTAGTAGTGGCTATTTTTCAGATACTTGGTTATCACCTAGGTAACAGCCAAGAGAAGTCTACGAGGCACTTTCATCTTTCTCATAAACCATGATTGCACAAACAATGGTATTTCAGAGTTCAAAAAATTCCCAGAAGATTTCATAGGTCCACAATGGTTCTTGAATATTACAATCTGTTTTACCAAATTCAGTTCGGAAAAGGTTGACAATAACATCATGGTACCAACAGTGTTCTAGAAAAATCGAAAGATTAATTATGCAATTGACACATACTCCCTTCATTATAAATCATAGGTCGTTTTGGCTTTTCTAGATACATAGAGTATATCTAGGCGCAGAGCAAAGCCAAAACAGCCTATAATTTGGGATGGAGCGAGTAACAAATTTCAACCCAAACCCAGACCTAGACCTAGACCCAGACTCACAAACAAGAGCGAATGCTAATAGCTAGACCCCAATAATTATGTCTAATAGGGGCATTCCATTGGTTACTTTTGAAAAATACAGGTAAAGAAAAGGACATGCATAGGAAACGCTACATCCTGCTACTTCTTATCCTGCGGTTCACCGACTCACATAGTCATTACCAAAATAACAACCTTACATTGATCAACGAGCAACAGGTAACAGCAGTTAATACTAAACATAATAAGTATCCAGTTAAGGAGAACTAGCAGGGAAAGAGTAATTAAACTATGTGTGACAATACAATGCAATGCAAGTGGTAGGCTAAAACCATCATTCATTCATTCTTAAGGTGATGAGGCGAGTGCAACCACCTCCTTCCAATCGCCTAGGTAACGCCTAGGCGCTTACAAGGCAAGGCAAGGTGATGCCATACCAATCTAAAACTGCAAAACAGCAGAATAGAAGGGGAGCAAAAAGGAGTAAGAAGGTGTCTGGCCCAGCCCACATACTCCCTCCCTCTCTCCAGATGCGCTGCTGCCCGAAACTTGTCCTTCCTGCCACTTCTATTCCCTTTCCTCGTTGCTCTGCGCCCTGAAATCGACTACTGCTGCTGTCCCTTTACAGATCAACTGTGCCGTGATTGACCTGAGCAAGTTCTGCGCTGGCCACCGCGCTGGAGCCAGCGGGGATAGCAGCAGCTGCAGGTTCTTGGCCTTGCTGGCCTGCTCCCCTCCCATTCTTCCTCTGTTCTCCCTTCCCCCCTCTCTCTTTCGCTGACATTTGGTCATGGCGACGGGGACACCCAGATTTCCAGCGCGCTCTATCGCCTAGGTGATGCCTAAAAAACCATAGCTAAAACCACTTGGTAACCCTAGGATAAGTATCAACACCCCTGACAACCCAGTAACTCACAACTTAAGCAATGGTTGTCAGTTCACATGTAGTTAAAGGCAACTGGTAACAAAGTTAACACTGCCACGTTTTTTCAAAGCAAACATCCGATGAACAGTATTGACATATCACGGTACAATGATGATGTGCCTACCCTATATATTACCAAGCTCAATAGTTATCAAACGCTATAAATTTTGACACTATCAAAGTAAACTTTCAAGTTTTCAACAAGTAAATAAAGAATGGTCCACAGAAATGAATTATTTGAAATGAAGAAGAGCTAATGCTGAAAGCTAGACCCCAGAAATTATATCTAGCAGGGGCATTCCATTAGTTACTTCAAAAATTGCAGGTCTTCAAAAAATTTGTCGCACAAAGTCAGTAGTTAACTTTACTATACATGGCCCATATTAGAGGTAAAGAAAAGAGTCTAGGATTAGGATAGGTAAATGGTACATCCCGTCTCAGTTACATCAATAACTATTGTGCTCCATCAAAGTAGCGCATTGAGAATAGGATACACTACAACCTGTTATTAATATCCCAAGGCTCCCCAACTCATGTAATCATTACCAATATAACCACCTTAATACTTATACATCAATCAACTAGAGCTAATCAAAGGCCTAGTGGATCAAATAACAGGTACCCACAGTTAATATTAAATAAAATAAGCATCCAGTCGAGCAGAACTAACAGGGAAGGAGACATGAAGCCATGTGTCACCGTAAGATGCAATGCAAGTGTTAGGATAACACCATTACTAGCCCTAGAATAGGTATCAAAGCCCCTGATAACCGAGTAACTCAACTGAAATGGTGATCAGTTCAGTTGAACTTAAAGGCAACTGGTAACAAAGTTAGCCCTAAACTGCATTTTGAAGCAAACATCAGAGGAACAGCATTGACATATCAAGGTATTATGATGATGTTTCTACTTTGCATATGATCAAGCAGGAAACGTTTACCAAATGGCAAAAATTCTGACACTATCAAAGCAACATTTAAAGTTTTTGACAAGTAAATAAAGGATAGTCTACAGCATTTAATTGTCTGAAACAAACACCTTACTGATCTTTTCCATTAATCAAGTACAACAACTAGAGTTCCCATCATCCTAAACAATGTAAATAAAATGTGTGGGCATAACAGATCCCATGCATGCGATAGATAGATGTCCTGGATCAAATTAAACCTCAATTTGAGCGCACTTAGTCACGCACCAGTCTGGGATATGTTCTCCATGTGTATCAAGGAATCGCTGTGAACCCACCATCGAACACAAATCCACGGTATACACCATCACCATAACCAGGAACGCCATCCACCCAGTCCCACTTGCCACCACTACCCATCTCATCTTCCTCCCACATTGCAAGCTTCCCGCGCACTCGCTTACCAGCAAACCACACCTTCCCATCGCCTCCAAAAACCTTGACCTTATTGTTTCCCCCGGCAGCAGCAGCGGGCATGGCGTTGCCCTGTGAAGCAGCCTCGCAGAGGCCAGTGAAGCAGCGGTACATATTGGGCGGCATGCGCCCAGCTTCGTCCCACTCCATGGTAGTCAGATCTAGGCGGAGTATGAGCACCGTGGAGCACGGCGCGTCCATGGCGAACGAAGACCTGAGGCCGCCGATCATAAGGACCCGGCGGCCGCCGGCCCCAGCAAGGAGTCGAGGACGCTTGAGGACCTCGAAGACGTCTCCCCACGCTGCTCGCTCCACGGGCGCCCAGCCCCCGGTGAGCATGGCAAGCGGGCAGGAGAAGAGCTTCCACTGGCTGCGCCACGGCGTGCCGACGTCGCAGAGGGCGAAGACGGCGGCGGCGGCGGAGGCCAGTATGGGGCTCCGCGGCTTGGACGGCAGTGAGAGGGGATGCTTCATCCACTTGCCGGATCCGGAGGGGGTGTAGGACAGCGCAGCGAGCTCGGTGAGGACGAGCACCGTGCCGCCGGGGCCGGCGAGGACGGTGCCATGGCGCGCCCAGGCGGATCCGAGCTGGGGCAAGAGGCGGTACGTGCCGGCGAAGGGGTTGCAGACGGCGAGCGATTTGGGCGGGTGCGCGGGCGCGGCGGCGGAGGAGGCGGAGGTGGAGGTGGACGGGAGGGCCAGGGGCGAGGTGGAGGAGGAGGTCTCGACCCAGAGGTAGAGGAGCGACGTGGAGGAGGCGACGGGGGAGAAGGACTGGTAGGGGAGGAAGTGGGCGAAGGGGAGGCGGAGCCAGGTGCGGCGCGCGGGGTCGAAGGCGTGGAGGCAGCCGCCGCCGTCGGGGCGCGGGTGGCGGAGGAGGAGGAGGCGCAGGGTGGGGAGCAGCGCGAGGAGCTGCGGCGAGAGGGTCTCGTGGAAGAGGCGCGAGACTGGGCGGCACACGACGGCGTCGCGCAGCTGCAACCGGAGCAGCACGTTGTGGAGCGCGTCCGGCGGCAGGTGGTGGATCGGCGGCGGGGGCTGCGCTTCCGCGGCCGGGTCGGGGCCGGAGCCGGCGGCCATGGTGGATTCGGGGTGGGGTTAGGTGGGGAACACACGGATGAGACCACACCGGGGACGGGGAGAAGAAGAGGAGGCCGGGGGTAGTTCCGTCAGTTCACATTCACTCGGCTACGATGCTGCGGATTCCGTTTCCGGTATAACGACCCGCCCTGTTTGTGCTCTATGCATGTGGGTCCTGCACTCTCGGTGTGCAGGGCCGGCCCGGATGTCAGTGAAAGGGAGGCGGAGACATCCGGTACGCCTTGGTGTGCTTTGGAACGGCGCTTCCGTTCCGTTCCTCATCAAAAATCAAAAATGAAAAATAAGGAGTGGCTGGAAGTACGCGGCCGTTGCTCTACCTCATAGGTGTACAGTCATGAAGCAAGGGACCCACCCTTGTGGGCCACGTGTGTCATGGAGAGACTGTGTCGAGGTCCCGGTGGCAGAGGGGGAACGGAGCCAGAAAATCGCAAAGCGACGCGGAAAAGGTTGGCGTGCAGCTCACTTCGCCTGGCAAGTGGGGCAAGAATGAGTGCGACTGTGCGAGGACCCAGCAGTCTGCCGCGTTGAGTAGCCGCGTAATAAAATACTCCACCTGTCGGCACTCGGCAGAGCTGTTCTCCGTGTGGGTCCCACGAGAAGAACGGTAGGCTAGGCCTTAAGGCCCATGGGCTTTAATTATGGGTAGACGGATTTTGCCTGTCGATGGGTTCGTTGTGTGGCATGTCAAGAAAAAAATATATCATTTTAAGCATCGTTTTTCTCTAAAGTATTGTCCTCTAGATTTTCTCCTCAAACTTTGAAACCAAGCAAACTGCCTCTTTCGACTCTCGGTAGGCTAGGCCTTAAGGCCCATGGGCTTTAATTATGGGTAGACAGATTCTACCTGGTCGATGGGTTCGTTGTGTGGCATGTCAAGAAAAAAAAATATATCATTTTAAACATCATTTTCGCCTCTCTAAAGTATTGTTGTCTAGATTTTCTCCTCGAACTTTGAAACCAAGCAAACTGCCTCTTTCGACTCTCAAAATCATTTAATTTACCACCCTCCACCAGTTAGAAGTGAGTGGCTTTTAAGGTGATTTTTTATTTTTATTTAAAAACCGAGGTTCAATATTTATACCCAAGGCTTGACTACGATTCCTAGTCGAACAAGATCGGTTACAAATTTAGAAAAGAAAACAAAGTTTCCTAGATTACGATAACTTGGACCTCAATCTTTCCCTTCTATGAAGTCCGACGCGTCTTCTTGCTCCATGTCTTGTCGTCCCTGCCAATGGGGCCCATTCCCTTGAAATGATGGCATCATCTTATCAAGTTGATGGCAATTTAGTTAGCCGGTCTTGTTGAATATTTCGGCTTTCCTTCGATAAGTTTCCGACCTTGTGGCCCTCTTATCTCGAACCAAATTTTGGTGTCAACACATGCCCCCAATTTTGGAATAAAATGATTTTATTCCAAAATTATTTTTCATGACCATTGCATGCGCCGCACTTCCAACCATCTGCTCTGGTCCCATGCTAACTTCTTTGGCCTCCTTGCAGATCTATTCCATTGGCCCTTCTCGATCAAGGATATATCGAAGATCATGATGTTTGGTCACTCGATGGTGATCATCCTTTTGACCTTTTGAGCCACCCTTCTCTTCCAACTCATGCTCGTAGCTGATCCTTCATCATTCCTTAAGTCTCGCTGATACCTGTTCTACTTGCGCACAAATTCTTCTACCATTATTGATCGCTGCACCAGTGATCGCCTTTTTGGATTGGTCACTTTTAGAGCTTGGTCCATCAGCTAACCGACTGAACTTCAGCTGATCAATTCCAGGGCCTGCTTCCGGACACGCGTGAAAACGCAAAACTACAGCGGATAACATTTCATGTCTGCATTCCGGATTTGAATGAAACCGTAAGTAATCTTGACGAATGAAAATTTTAAATCCACTGCTTCTACAACTGCTGCCGTCTCATTAGGACACGTGTGGCTTCCTCGATATTCGAGATGGCCTTCCGTCTTCCATAAATCGAATTTATTTTCCTCGACTCAAAAGATCCACCAGTATCCCACTCCGGCTATAAATACATCCTTAAAGGATAGCCGAGGAATCATATTTGTTCCTGCCTCTGCTCTTGCCATTATGTAACTACTCCCCCTTGTTCTTATGTCTAAAAACCACATCCAGAGAAGCATGGATCACGACAAGCACGTCGTTGGTGATCTCCTAGAGGAAAACCATCCTCCCCGTCGGTGCCTCTGTTTCTAGGGGTAAGATCGGATCTATCCTCGATCTTTCATCTTCTTTTGCTGATCCGTTTGATTTTGCAGTGGTGATCACTCTGGTGCCGTTCGCGATACCCATTCGGTGGCGCAGCGACTTCCTGCTTCGACTCCTACAACGGAGATGATGCACGACGCTTTTGCCGTGAGTGAAATGTGGCGATCGACCGCTATTTCTAGGCCACCCGGCGGAATGGGCAACTGGAGTTTGCCCTGAAAGCTTCTCAAGCCACTCTCTCCGCCGTGGAGGCAGAGGTAAATGTGGTCCGAGCGCAACTGGCGGAGTCAGACGCCAGAGTCGCCGGTAAGATCTTCAACATCCTTGTTTCCTTCACTGCTTTCATCTTGCTGATCTTCTAATGGTTTCTTGCGTTCTTTCATCTTCAGCTCTGACGGTGCAACTGAAGCCCTCTAGTTAGCGTCAGGCGACGCCATCTACGCCTTGAACGCACGGGCGACACTCTGGAGACTCACCTCCAAGACGTCCTTATGCTCGCTAGGGAGGTGGCCCTTCATGGAGTCTTCCATGGTGCTGCTGTTGCTCTGACAATAGCACAGTTGAAAGGTCCTAATATGGCTAGAGGAGGGTGAATAGCCTATTTAAAAATCTACAAATCAACTAGAGCAATTTGATTAGTATGACAAATAGCGAAATGCAAACTTGCTCTAGCTCTACAAGGGTTGCAAGCCACCTATCCAATAATTCTAGTTACTATGATCACTAGACACATAATTTACTAAGTCACTACTCACTAAGAGCTCTCACACCTGTTACACTAAAGAGCTCCACTAGATGAACTTAAGATACAAAGCAAGCTCTCAATTCTAGCTACACTAAAGAGCTTACTGCAACTAGTTTGTGGGTATGTAAATGAGTAAGTAAGGTGATTATACCGCCACGTAGAGAAGTGAACCAATCATAAGATGAATACTAACTCGATCACCGGGAGAATACCAAAGGGCAAGAGAAAACCAATTTTCTCCCGAGGTTTACGTGCTTGCCAACACGCTACATCCTTGTTGTGTCGACCAACACTTGGTGGTTCGACGGCTAAGAGGTGTTGCACGAACCTCATTGAAAGCTCTAGTTTGGTTTTGGTTAATTGATGAAACCCTAAGTGCTAACCTAGTTTATCAAAGTGATTATGAGATAGGTAGCACTAATCCAAGTGATGAAGCAATGGCGAAGATGATGACGATGGTGATGGCATGGTGATGATCAAATGCTTAAACTTGGAAAAGAAGAAAGAGAAAAACAAAAGGCTCAAGGCAAATGTAAAAATTATAGGAGCCATTTTGTTTCAGTGATCGAGACACTTAGCGAGTGTGATCACATTTAGGATCAATAGCCATACTATTAAGAGGGGTGAAACTCGTATCGAAATACGGTTATCAAAGTGCCACTAGATGCTCTAACTCATTGCATATGCATTTAGGATCTAGTGGAGTGCTAACACCCTTGAAAATGTTTGTGAAAATATGCTAACACATGTGCACAAGGCAATACACTTGGTGGTTGGCTCATTTGAGCAAGGGTTAGAAACTTCACCGATGGAGTGTCCGCCCGTAGAGTGCGGACAGTCCGACGGTGCCACCGACGCTCTTTACAGAAAAGATGAAGGTCACTGAAAGTGACCGAACGCTGGTCTTGGTTGGACCGGCGCGTCCGGTCAGTGGCAGTAGAGGGCGCGTGTTTCGGTCTTCGACCAGACGCTGGCGCTAAAAGTGACAGGACGCTGGCAGGGTGCGTCCGGTCAGTGCTAACGTACGCTGACGTGGGGCGCACATAGGAGACGTTAAGTGACCGGACGCTGGGTGAGTCCGGTCGGGCATGACCGGACGTGTCCGGTCGTGAAATCTCGCGTTTGGTACCTTACTAGAAACGACCAGACGCTGGGGCTCAGTGTCCGGTCACTTTCTAACTGACGCGTTTGGTCATTACTTGACCGTTGACATCAGGCGATCAGTGTTTGAAGCAGAGGACACGTGGCGAAGATCTGAGGACCGGATGCTGGGGTCCTGCGTTCGATCAATACGACCGGCGCGTCCGGTCATCCCGCGTTGTGCCCAGTGAAGGGGTACAACAGCTCTATTTCGTAAGGGCTTCTATTTAAGCCCCGTGGCCGGCTCAAGCTCACTCTCTTGGCCATTTGCATTGACATAGCAACCTTGTGAGCTTAGCCAAAGCCCTCCCACTCACCTCCATCATTGATTCATCATCATTGTGAGATTGGAAGAGAATCCAAGTGCATTGCTTGAGTGATTGCATCTAGAGACACTTGGTGTTCGTGTTTTGCTGCAGGATCCACTTGTTGCTCTTGGTGGTTGCCACCACCTAGATGGTTTGGTGCAGTGGAGGAGGATTGGCACGATTCGGTGATTGTTCGTGGCCATCTCCGGTGATTGTGAGGGGATTTGTACCTTTCCCGGCGGAGCGCCGAAAGGTAACTCTAGTGGATTGCTCGTGTCATTGAGTTACCTCACTTGTGGGTAGGTTCTTGCGGTGTCCAATCATGTGGACGAGGTTTGTGCAACACCTCTTAGCCACCGAACCACCAAGTGTTGGTCGACACAATGGGGACGTAGCGTGTTGGCAAGCACGTGAACCTCAGGAGAAAATCGGTTGTCTCTTGTCATTTAGTATTCTCCTATGATTGGTTTAATATTCATCTTGTGATTGGTTCACTTCTCTACATGGCGGTATAATCATCCTACTCACTCATTTATATTCTTGTAAACTAGTT